CTCCCACGCCATATATTCCACGAGTCATCGCTTCTGGGTCACCAGATACACGGAGGGAGAAATGTGAAAGAGCTGAGTTCATCCTTGGCGTTCTGAGATGCAGAACCACGCTCGGGTCTTGTATGCGTGTTTCGGAGACACAGCATACATCAATTTTAAGGGAGTACAATGTTTCAGCAAGCATTACCTGTTTGCCAATTCGACATAGAGTATGGACGTTAAAAGCTTTTATATTGAAAGGATCGGATTGATTTAGAAAGGTGTTATTTTGTTTAATGTTTGTGGGCAGTGAGGAACCTAAGACCCTTTGGTCAGATGGCTGCCAGTCAGCACAGCGACTGTTATTTTGTTTAATGTTTGTGGGCAGTGAGGAACCTAAGACCCTTTGGTCAGATGGCTGCCAGTCAAATGGCACAGCGACGTTTGCTTGTGCGGTGGGAAGAGGTTGGGGAGGGACATCAGTGAACGCTGAACTGCGTGGGCAAATGATACTTCTCGGTTGCCCAGGCCGAGGAAGAGGATTTGGTTGAGGTAGCCCACCTTGAGCCTTTGCCTCAAAAGTCTGACCCACAAAGCAGTGGGAGGACGTAGGGTTTAGTTCGGGGACCCTGACCCTAGCCTCTGACACAAAAGCCTGACCCACGAGACAGTGGGAGAATGTAGGGTTTTCTTTGGGGACCCTACCCGGAGCCGACTACTCAACAGTCTGACCTGCTCGGCTGCAGAGGGGGTTGGCCTAACCCGATGGCGCAGGGAATAAGGCATTGCTGTCTCATTCCTGATGCGGCTGCGCACAACAGGTGCCTTCTGAGCAGCACCGGACTCTTTGGCTTTAAAAGTATTTCGACCGTATTGGATAATGCGCGGTCAACCGTTGGGCGGTCGGAGTGTGCGGTTTTTGGGGCCGACCTTTTCTAACCCGTCCTTCCTCGGAGGAAGGCAGCATCGCTGCTTCCATAAATATGGACATGCTGGTCGCCTGGGGGAAACACCTCACTGCCTTCACATTCCTGTCACAGAGGACAGTACGACTTTACCACCAGATCGCCTCGTACCACGATTACTCGCAGTGCGGGGTCCCGCTGCTCTTGGTCTGGATGCTCCCCTTTGGCCTTCCTGGCATGGTTGTACCTTGTGGAACGAAGTTTCAGCCATTATAGCCCGCGGGATCATTGCAGCACTCAAGCCCGACCACCAAGTCGAGGTTGCAGCTTTAGGTCGAGGATTGCCTCATATTCCAATCTAACTGACTCGTGCTTTGTTGCATCGAGTTCAAACCAATGGTACGCACCCGCAATACACGTCGAGTGAAGACTTCGCCTTCGGGGGATATGTTTGGAAAATTCTGTTTGCCAAATACGCTGAACGCATCAAGAACATCGTGCTGATTTCATCGTTGCACGTGTGGTGGGATAAAAATTTTACGGCGATTTTGGGCAATATTTTTTGCTGCAGGGCGGGGTTGTGAGCCCAAAGGGACGCTTGTCCTGGGAACCATAAAGAGATTATGGTTGGCACCTCTTGGGTACACTAAAATTTGGACGACTACAAATTCTCCTTAACACTCAAGTCGCATTTTGACGTATGTGGATTTGCTCAACTCCAGATTGCAAGTTCCACTTTACTCTGCATCATACTTGTTATTCCAATTCTGTCGCCAATGGCCTCATCGACTCTTTTCCGCAGCCGTTCCGGATAATTAGGATCGGTATTCTTGTATACCTCCCGGTTACGTCAACTTGCCTCATAAGCTGTACCTGACTTCTTTGGGTTTATTTGGTACTCTAAGTTCTCCCACATAACTAGTGACCGAGCTGGAACCTGTGAACAAACTTCGAAATGCAATGAGTTTCGAAACCGCGACAATCCGGTCTCCTGTAGAACAGTTAAGCGTTAGGCCTAGAGCGGCTGAACAGCAATGTGGTTAGCTCATAATTTAAAATAAAAATAATTTTGAAAAAATAAGTAACCGTTTACGCGCTTATAGCACGCTATTGAAGAATCTGATTTTCCGAGTCGCCCACCGACTCACTTATTTTTCATCCCAACCCTGTCGGATACATCAAAACCAGCATCGATAGCTTAAATTCTCCACTATAAGGGCAACAACGGGGTAGAGAACACCACTTCTTCAAATTAAGTACGCACAGCCCTCAAACTGTCCTTAAAAAGGTGTATGGCAATTTGGCTCTGGATAATGCTGTCTGCAGTGAAGTTGAGCTGCTCCAGAATCAAGTCTGGAATTTGAAGTGTTTATTTCAACGAGCTATTCTTCTGGAATTTGTCCAGCCTAGAAATTTCCCACTCTGTTCTCCAGTCACTTACCAAAGTAGTGGAGAAGCTCCGACCCATGCAGATGAGGCCAGTGCTTTAACGTATATCGGAGTACATCAGTGTTGAAGCGAGATAATGTTCTACATTTTCATGCTAAACCTGAGATGCGCGAAGATAGACTTAACTCGACACCGATCAAAATGAATGGCGTATACATGGCGCTTGCGCAATAAATAGCATTCAAATAACTTTTTTGGATCTGTCGCCACATGTGTAATACATGGGGATACAAAATTTCTCTGTATCCATGCCACTTGGTCATTAGATTCTTACCGAAATCTTCGTTGCAATATCACTGTCTTGGTTAGGGTCCTATCGTATGTATGTTCAGTTTCGCTCAATAAGACGAGTCGATCACGTTTGACTGAGTTTAGCAGATCCTCGACTTCCAGTTTGATGGGAAAATATGCGCAGTAGTTTGCGTATTTCATCATTCTCAGGGAGTAGATCGATAGTTTAGTTTAATAAAAAAACAGGGCCGGAGACAAAAAATGGGCAACCAGAAGACTAGGCCTCACGGTCAAGGGTTTTGGATCATGGTTATTCTGCAGTAGGTTGCTCATTTGTTGCACAACTAATCAAGGCATTTGCCAGCCCGCACACTGGATCTTATACTTCAGCCTCACAGCCCACAGAAGGTAACATTAAGCATATTTCTGTATTAAATCAATGCAATCGGTTTTCACCCTTTTTCGCTCACAACAAATGGGTCAAACTATATAAGCAGTTTCTTGCCAGAGGGAATCAAAGAATCAAAGCAGGGAATAATGATCAGTGTAGAACTATGAATATTTTGAGGATCTTATTTTTTTCATCTAAACCACCCCCACATGAATGTATGTGTCTATGTGCATGTATCTTGCGGATGGTTAATCTAGAAGTCACTACACGGAAGCTAATTCAGCGCTCTTGTTCCTACCGATTTGCTTTTGGTTAAAGGACGAATGAATTGGTTCTCGAGCGAGAATATACTCAAGTCATTTGTCAGGACTGAAGTAATTGATACACAAAGCAAATTTGGCATTCCATAACCATTAGTCCTTTCCTTATCGATTCCTTAGTGTTTCTCCGTGTATGGAAGACTTAATAGCAACAATCTTTACCGGTGAGCCAGGGTGTCATCCAGTAGTGTAAGAATCCACAAAATCCCTGACCATGAAAGGGCCGACTCGAGGATAGGAAGTTCGCAAAGAAGTTGTGCACTGTGAGTTCACAAGAAAGTAGTTTGCACTGAAGTTTGCTGAAGGTTTCGCTGCAAGGTAAATATATTTCAACCTCCTACGTGAAGTTCTCTTTCTTTGACGTACTGCATAATGAAATTTTCCATCTGGAGGCACGAGGGTAGGCGGGCAGCAGCTTTTGTCTTCAATCGTTAGGTTCGTTTAGTGGGACCATACCGCTTTGTTTTCAGTGTACATATGCCCATTCTGAACCGTAAATCAAGCAATCGCCAAACGCATAAGAACCCAAGTGAGTTTTCACTGACGCATCAGATAGGCTAGTATTCGACTATCAAAATCTGACTACGAGTGACTCGTCGAAATAATTGCAACTTTGTTCACAATCACCCAAGACGACTCGATAGCTATCACGCTATGCACACTGTTTTTTACAACTGGTGGTGTCGAAGTTAACAACGTCAAATAGGGGCGGAATATTCTGCATCAGATCCTGTGCCTCCTAATGATATACAGGGAAATTCGAAAGCCTTTGCTTAGCTTTTAGAGCTATTTTTTTAGTCGATGGATGATTGCGGTGTTATTTTTTGTATAATTGGTAACATTCCAAGCGAATCATGTCTCAGAGCAAGAGTAGTTTTCCTTTCCATATAGCATTAGACTATTTTGATTTAACTAAAAATATGGAAATACCAAATTGGATTTTTTTGTTTTCACTTTCAATGGTTATTTCTTCTCAAATCTAGATTTCCAACGAATTACCAATGCAACTAACACTGGTGAGTAACATGATTTTCACTATTTTTCTAGAGGGTGCGGTCGAGTAAATCAAATAGTAGGCGATATCACATTCCGAACAAATCAAATTCTGGAATGATTCCAACACACATTCATAACAACTGGACTGTCAGATTGCTTTCCAGCCGAAAATATGCATAAAACCAGTACCGATTGTGCAGTCCATATACTCCGTCATTTATCCTGCAAAAGATGGATAACCAGAACATTTATTCATAAATCTAAAGCAGTAGGTTTCGGCCAGAACGACAGGCTGGAAGAATTTGGAGGTGAGGTAATTCCCCATTGGAGACTTTGCTCGAAACGTTTACTTGAAGCATCCTTCACTCGCATTAATTCGTCTTAGTGGGAGCTGTGGATAGTACGTCCCGTATAATAGGATGTCGAACCAACGATTAGTTTGACTAACTGGGCCAACGAGGTCGTCCAAACATTATGGGCATTCTTTGAGAAAACTATTATGACCAGTTGTAAATATCCAAAAGTTCGCAATAACAGATCTGGGGTGCCGCCAAATGAAGAAGAAAGCATTTCTGATCCAGTTTTATTGGGTTAACAAATTCCAAAAAATTTAACGAAAAGCGCGGCAGAACTGTTGATGACACCAGTCTTTCTATTCGATTTTACGTTATTCTCACGCTGATAAGTATTATATCCTCGCAGGTTCGTCCTGATTCCACTAAGAATGATTCTTTTATTTACACACGGGTTCCCGTAAGTGTAAATGTAGCTGTAATGAGGAAGTCTTTAGTGCCACATATTTTATGTCCATAAAGTCCTATCAATTTGTCATTCACGATGTTTGCCAAAATAATCATATTTCTTCACCAAGAAATGGTCTTGTGTCACTGAGGCTAGACGACAACAATTTGCAAATGTGGCCGCCCAGAGATGAAACAGCAGTGATTGTACAGGGCAGCACACTGAAAAATTCTACAGTGATCCGCACAATGGCAAAACAGGGTTACACCATGGGGACACCGTTTCTGTTAGGCTTTTGGCTATATTATAACATACTACTTGCCGGGCGCCATCGTACGTGACGACTATTATCAGCAACATAACAAACAAGTTTAGGCTAGAGACATCAACCAGCAAAATTGGCCGGATGCCTCAGTGAAGACTGTCACAACGACAGGTTTGAAGGAATCAGCTAGCCCATAAATTGAAGATGATGAAAATCAAAAAGGATTTTGATTATAAATTTGAAATAAAGTTTACCATTCTAACAGAGTGAAGCTAATTTAACGCAGTAAGCTTGGTAATATGAAATAAACTAAGTAACACGTTCGGACAATGTGTGTGGATGCTTGAAGCACATTTGAAGCCAATAGTTCGAAGTTGATGCCGATCGATTGCGATGACGAACAGGTCTACAAGCTGAGTTGTATTGAGAAGCCAAAAGGATCACACGGCTATCTCTCTCCGGGTTAGAATTGGCCATTTACAGCATTTACATCATCCACTGTCTGACTAGGCATATACACCTGTCACAATTACGGGGTACAGTTACCCCAAGAGCACCCATCAAAGTAGAAGAACATTATGGATCTAAGAAGAGTGAAAAACCCCAATATGTTAGATACCAGACTCTGGATAATATGACCATTTGAAGTTATAATACCTGATTGAAATAATTTGTCCGCTAAGTTCAAGTCATCTAGGAAAATCTTACCGAAGCACACCCACCCTAGGAACAGCCGTTTGCGGCTCTGGGATTTTTTCGTTTGGTCTGTGAGTATCGGAAATCACAACTGAGGAATATTTGGTTGGCCGAAGGATCGACATTCAAAATGTCTGGAATCGTTTGACAATGTTGTGGACTTTATATCCTCCTAGTTATGACAGCTTAAGTGTAGGTTGCAATCTCCCAACTGGAGTTGTTTGGTGTATCATCCACCTAAAATTGAAGTATAAATAGTTACTTTCTGTTCATTGTGGTTCTCTTCTTCTTCTACCTAGATCTTGGCCGCTTTAGTTGCCGTATTCCTCCAGTATAATAATGGATATGGTGAGTTCGGGCACCTTTATTTACAAAATTCTCATGTTGTTGACCAAAACACTTTTTCGCGAGACTCGGAGTCTACTTCTTGGCATCCTGAGTAGTATTCAAGTAGACGTAAAATTTGGACCTTATATTTCTCAAGAAAATGGGTTAACGACTCTTCTAATTAGAACAGTCTGCAGAAAAAAGCCCCTCGACTCGTTTGGTTCTCCGTGGGACCATCTACTAAACCCTACCACCAAACGTTGTTAAAGAGTTCCATTGAATTGTTCTATGTGATGTGACACCGAACGACTCACTAGCGAACCGGCACTTAAAGATGGTGATTCACCACTATTCTGCCAAAGGTCCACTGTTTTCTCTACCGAATATAAACAAACTGAAAATTAGTTGTAGCATTCCATTCGTCTTCAGTACCGACGAAGAGTAAGCTTTCAAATGTATTGTCGGATATAAAACTGGTTTCTACTCGAAACTACACTCCAGTGCTGCTACACACGAAATCTTTTCACCATATCTTTTGACCTCTCACGGGTGATAAGCTGCAAGACGGTGAATTGCGAAAAAAACGTTAACTATCTGTGTAAAGGACTTTAGCGCTTCTAATTATTTACAAACTTTGCATTGACTACTCAACGTAGGGCGCGCAAGATGGACTTGCCAACCATTCATGCATTTCTTACATGACGAACGAAGAAACGGCGCGATCACCTGACATAAAATTGGCCTTTCCTTAATACTGGTGTTCGAACGTTTGGTTTGTGTTTTGTTGTTTGAGATATTCAAAAGGTTGGAGTTGACAGTGGACCATCCTCCTGAGGCTCGCTCGAATCATTTCCAATATATTGACATAGCGTATGTCGATTATTTGCTGGGAAAATACGTTTTTTAACACCAGAAGGTTCATGTTGCGCTACAGGGGCTTGGTGGGTCAGTGGAAATACATAGTATTGTTAGTTGATTCACTCCCACGCCATTGGCTCTTTAATTTCATGAATGCTTTTCCCAACGGTAGACTGAGACTGCGTGATACACTCTAGAGATACAAAACAACTAAAAAGAAAAGATGGCTTATTTCCAAAGCGTTAGGCTATGTGATACGTATTTATCATAGAATCTTGTTCACGAGTTCACTAACTGTTTTATCATTTTCAGTTTGGGAAGGAAAGCGAATGGTTCTGCCTGTCTACCACAGACGGCCACACACGGTTCTCTACAGCTCGATGGGTGTTGGTAGCGGTGGTGGATCGCGTCAGGATCGTTTCCGTCGCGGGAATTTGCAAGCCAGCGTTAGTCAAACTAGAATGGGCAAGCATGTGATCCCTCCTAGCTTTGTAAGGGGGGCAAGTCTGCAGGTAAAAACCCGAGAACTGCATGAGCGCATATTGTCTAAACCCAGGCGGTGGGCAATTTCGTCAGTGTATGAGGCACCAGTGTCTCAAACCACATCAGTATTTGAACCAAAGGCTGATTCGCAACCAAACCAATGGACAAATGATCACTTAGCACTTGAAGAACAACAGCAAGTAGGGTCCCAAGAAGTCCCTGAAAACAGTCCTGCCATGACGACACATGATACATCTGCCACAATAAGCAGTCCAAGATTTAGTGCTTATAACAAGCTCATGGATGACAATCACCACAGCTTGATTCCCAGCGAAATTTTCGATACTGATGATCAGTCACGTCAGGAGTCACAAGAGCAACGGATGCAAGATTTGGACACACAAGGGGCTCCATACGAACCGCGCATCGCTGAAGTCAGACCGGAGGCAAGGCCATATGAACAACCCTTCACGAATGTCAGGGAGGAGGCTATTCCTTACCACCCTCCCTCTGGAGAACCTGGATCGTACACCAGGCCATATAACCCTCCAACTGACGAGCGAAATGAAGGATACGAAAATTTTGATGCAGACGGTAACGAAGGTTTGTAGTACCTTTGTAGCTATTTTCCGTGCACATCAATGTGCGAACTACTTTTTGTCAAACAGATTTCCTGGCATTTAGAACCAAAAAAATGCCAATTCAATTTCAAAGCACAAAGAGCGCTGGACAGGCAGAGCTTGCAAATCACGAAGGTTCTCAGGCATTTCTTCAATCGTTTTTAACCTAGCTTGCTTGTATTACTTGCAACGTAGACGAGATAGCCGGATGAACAATGAATGTCTTTTTACTTATCAGATTTCATTTTCACTAGTCCACGTGACCGTTCAGAGGAAAATATCCCACAACAAACCGATGTTACCATCCACTTAGCTATTTTTGAAAACATTTGATCCGCTTTACAATACTGAAGGCAATTGAAAGAAGTCGGAATACAGCAAGAAAGTAAATAAACACTTGCATGTACACATTCAACCGTCAGTGGAATGCAGGCTGTAGCTAACATATAATTTCGGAAGATGCCTTTGATTTTGAAACATTTGGCTGGCTTGCTGATTGAACTCGGTCCTGTACATCATGGAAGTTCAATTCCTTTGGCTTACACATAACACTTCAGGTTAAATCAATGTGAAACACAAAGATGGTTTAGTCAGCACAACGTTTTCGCAAGAAAAGAAAAAACACGGCAACCAAGCAGCAAATTTTCAGGACAAGCTTTTATGATGTAAGTAAGCCTAATGGATTGCATAGAACTATCCGGGTATTGTTCATATTGGGCTTTAACCCTTGCCAGCGCCAGACGATGCGTTCGAGTGAACGAGTATTCAGCGATACCAATGTCCAGGCATACTGGAACGGAGAGGCAAATGTTGAACTCTTGTTCAAGCTATAAGCTTGATGTCGTAAACAGTGTCCACCGTGGGGCATGAAGAACTTTCCGTCATTGTCACATGGAAGTGGTCTTTCCTCTCGCTGAGCAATCATGTCCCTTTATATTTTTCCCCTAATTCTGAAATTCTATTTTTAGGAAGTGCTAAAAAACGTATGGCTCATTCCCTAACATGGAAGTAGCTACTTAAGGTAGTTGTGCGCTATAATTTACGGCATAAATTCAGACATCATTGCTCGGGTACTCAGTTCGCCCTGGTAAGTTTTGAGAAGCTTACCTTCTTCTGTTTAGTGCACCCGCAGGTTGAAAGCCCACGTACCACATGCGAGTTAACTTTGTCGATGTGCGCTATGCCTCCGAGAGGAAATCCTATTGGGGAACTTATCATGAAAAGCTGACAAACTTTTGGTGGTGCTGAAAACACCCTTCGAATGCTGCCGATTATGAAGAACGTAATATCAACAGTTGTCTGGCCGATGTCTTACTGGTTTAGTGTGTAAACTTTCTAGGTGATCAGAGATCAATTTAGCGAACATCACCTTGCCTTCATTGTCTTGTCCAGCTGGTGTGCTAGTTGAATTCAACAAACACGTTCGATAATGAACGAAGGAGGTTACAGTGAGTCAAATTACCTGGAGTATGCCAACAGACACCGTTAATTTCGCACCCGTCTTTAGTACAGTCCAAAATTTTTCGTACGGTTGTAACCTGAAGGATACAGCTTGATGTTCATACGCATCAATAGAGATCAGTCGCCAGTCTGCAAAAGAATAAGCGTGCAATTGAGTGGCATGTTTGTGGGTTTGCTTTTAGCATCTGAGTAAGACAACGTTCAAAGCCAAAATCCGCTGACATCTGAGGTAAAAATAAAGGGGAGACATGGTTGAAATACTAGGCCTTTACTAATGCAGTTGGTCCACCCAGAGTCGAAGTGAGTGGCGGTAGGTGAAACCAACTTAAAAGCACAAGAGACGGTTCTTCGGGGCGCGGTGTACCATCAGGAGGATAAGTCCAACCCTAGTGCCCCCGAAGTGCATCCAACCAGCCCACTTCCACCAAACAAAAGGGTGGGCGAAACTAGCACTAACACCATTGGGCTGTAACGGATAATCGGGTTTTAAACCAACAGGGTGATAGATATTGGCACCAAACGCTTTTAACCTACTGAGTTTGTGTACCATGGACGAATTCTATAAGAACCGCAATTGTTTACATCAGCCCAGTCTAGTTAGTTGTCCCCACATTCAGGGAGATTGGCTGCAAAGTGAGGACTGTAAATGACTAGTTGAGCACAGCCGTTTTACTGAAATTTCTACTTAGTAATAGAGGAATGTTGTTTTACTTCGACAACCTGAACATCGATCCAGCCTGAACACCAGACAGTCTTTTAAGGCTGATTCCGTCTTATTCGTGGTTTTATTTCTTGCCTGGAGTTGGATTACCGCTTACTCAGAGTGAACCAATTGTAGGATAGGCTTCAAAACAAGTCAATACTCTCTGATTATTATAAACGCTCTTTACGGTGAGTCGGGCACCTCATCAAACAATCAGATTGGTCACTGAATACGCACGCAGATTTTTGCAGAATCCGGGCCTGACCGTTGGAAGATAACGACATCGTAGTATCTTGACGGGCTTTAGTGTACAAGATTTAACCTCTCAACGAGAGCAACCTTTCCTTTGTTGAACTTTCCAAATTATCAGGTCTGTGAGTTAGCAACTATCAGATTGCAAGTAGTTGCCAAATCATATCATTTACCTCAGCCGCACGACTATTCGTTATGTTTCCGAACAGAAGCGAGTGACGAAGGACTCATCTCGCAGTTGCACTTTTCGGGAAAATAAACAATTAACGACATCGGCTTCCAAACTCTAATCATCCCATACGTTAAGCTGACAGTTTCCATTGTTCCATTGGCGCACGCCATGCTCGCTGGACACGTGTAGATCTACTAGTTAGTTACTGCCAACCAAAAATTGTCTCTCAGGGTTTTTCGGTCGTCGGGGCATTCACACTAATGAAATCGAGCATTTTAAGAGGGCTTTCATGAACGTAGAACCCTGGCACCTTTTCTTGATATGAATCAACCTGCTTAGATGTATGAATATGAGGAGAAATTGTTCAACTGTGGTTGGTATGGAGACGAAAACCCCACAATCCTTCAGTATATATTTTAAATATGTGCTTCCAGACGCATTTCAAAAGCCCAGACTCTGATTAACAGACCACAGAAAATTCCCCTGCAGATCGCTTCTGAGCAAAATTTTAAAAACGTTGCTCCACATTAGTAGACTTTTATTGTATGGTTTTACAAATGTAACACCTTTGCTGCCAGAACAAGCCGTTCACTCATGCAGGTTTCTAGACAATCTAGCCAGATTTTTATTGATCATTCACAACTCAGAATCGTGGATTTCTTGTTTATCTTCTTAAATCAGCCTCTCATATATATTTTTGTAATGAAAACTGCTCACAAGTTTGCTGAAAACTCCTCGATAGCCCACTGCCAGTTCCGCCACTTTAGGGGGCTCATCAGGTGGGCTCAGTCCCCGAGTTTCCTTATGTTCTACTTTCTGAGGCTTTGGACAAAGACAGAAAATTAGCAAAGACATTCTTAGCTTAGTGCTTACAATTTTTGACGTTAAACTGGCAGCTTATTCAAGGGCAAGTCCTTCTTATGCTGGGACAACATCACCCATAATAAATAACCGACAGATATTAGAAAACTCCCATTTACGGCCAACTCTGCGGGCACTCCAATAATACCAATCGCCGAATACATACATGAAAAATAACTGAACTAACCGGGAAACTGTGCGTGACTCAAGGAGACTCAAACTGACCGATGGTACATAAGCCTGATTTGTCTTGGGAATTTACATAAATTGTCTGGTACTCACCACGAACATTAACACATTCCCATATGATTTTCTGTTTGATTAATTAAATAGTAATATTAATGCTTTCTAAATACCACAGTGACATTCCCTTTTGCGGTAGGGACGACTGAAAAAATAACCTTTGCTACTTCAAGATGTTTATCCGGCGACAGATGTAAAGCTTTGGAGTTTATGGTAATTCGGTATCACATGCTTCTGAATAATGAAGTGCACACGTCTGTTAGACAGTTCCTGTGATAATAGGCACGCGATTTCACGTAGTAACTTTTCGTTTTACTAGATCGGTAGCTCCCACTTCTATGCAGCGCACCATCATGCTTTAGACGATCGTATGATCCAGTCTGTTAGAGGATGCATCAAATTAAAGGTCCCTACAGGCGTTTTTGACGAAGAAAACTTGTGGAATTTCGACCACGTGAATGCATTAACCAGGGGGATATTTGTCAACACGATCTGAATTCCTGCCCCATACTCATGACAATGAGCTGTATACACTATGCCCGAACGAAAGCAACCAAAATTTTTCGCTCGTTTTTCAAATAGTGTTCGTTGTTTTTCATTATCTTTATTCCAAACACTTTCCGTGTAGGTAAAATACCATACAATCTCCTAGAACGTATGCTGTTTGAATATAGCTGGATTCACAACAGTCATAGTTATCGATCAATCGAGTGATCGCCTTATAGTGCAACAAATTCAAAACACCCCGAAAGAAATTGATGATATAAAATATTCAGAAACAGACCGATATATCATTACCGAGTTCCAAAACCGAAAAGCTAGAATAAGTAAAACCGACCAAATATTCTTTTGTCCTTACATTCAGATGATTACGAGGATGACAGCACTGGGACTAGTCCGCAGGAGAACAGGCAAAACTACGCGTCGTATCCCGAAATGAATGGTGGTATGCCAATGAGGTCTCCACAAACCACTTCCCCAATGGTAGATGGTTATCAGCTGCATGTGGAAGAAGATAACGTAGAACCAATGCGACCGGTTAGAAGATCCCCTAGTCCTTGGACCGTGCGTGATGTTCATCGGCTGGGACAGCCCCGGCATGAGGCCTGTATGCTTCCTGTCGATCGTGGAGCCGGGCCGGATGAAATTTCTGCGTGGTACTACGAGCCAAACGAATATCGTTGCCGTTGGTTCGGTTATCGAGGTCACGGAGGGAATGCTAACAGATTCTACAGCCGCACCGCCTGCGAATCATACTGCATTCGTGATTTGGAGAATTTGTGCGAGGTAAGCCACGTTTTCGCACTGCATCAAAATCCAACACGTCTCCTATAGGAAGAACGGGGAAAGCGATGCACCAATCCCGAATGCTTTTTTTAACTAATCCGATACTAAAATGAGTAGCCGAATAGCTAAGCCAGAGGCTTCCATACGTCTCCAAAAGTTTGTCTTCTAATTATTGATTGGCCAGTGGTGGGTTAACCTAAGCCTCAACATTTTACAGCTTCATCTAGTGTCTTCATTTGAAAACGTTACGGTCTATTCAATACAAAGTTAGCGAAAGTGAAGAGCCGTCTTATTTCATCGAAGAACTCCATGAATCCTTAAACAGTTGGAACCCGTGAGATCCTGCTATTCGGCTACTAATAATTCAATGGGATTTCGATCTATCCTGTAGTCTAGGGACTGTTGTTGTTTAATTTGACTTTATTCTCGGAACAAGCAAGGGATCACACAGCAATAGGGAGCATATATTCTCCACCATATTAAATAGCTTTTGACAAAAGTGTGTGGTCACTAATTGGAGGAATTGACACTTTTGCGCGTTGACGTTCGGATGACGGTCTGAATTCTTCTTAGCATTATCCAACCTATAATCTTCTCTTCTGGTCTTCTCTTCTGGACCCAGAAGTTGGTGGTTCTTTGCAAGAATTTACTTTCCCTCTACTCCATCATTTACTGTTTTGGACGCATTTAGCAAAAGATCATCAAAATATTAGTTCACACCCATTGGATCGGCGCAGGACTCAAAGTCTTGACCTTTTGGAGAAAATGGCAATCTCGTAGGGATGCCAGCAACAAACTCACCATATTGTCTTTTTGATGAATTAAACGAGTGACGTGAGTTGCTTCGAAGCACTAGCCGGCCATCCATTTTTGTGCTTTAGACACAGGGATATAAGTGTTCCTGGGTCTCTCAAGTAATCAAAATGAAGTAAATACTACGGACGAATTCACCCACACTCTCTTGATGGTTGTTTAGGTTCCTGCTTGTTTCTGTAGCACGGGGATCCTACTGTCAGTGGGTTTCACACCAAGGTGCACGAAATAAGAAGTGTTCACATATCAGCGTTTTCCAATTTTAATCCCTGAAAATTTATCAGTCTTGATGGATTGCGTGTGTTTATCTGCTTTTGGTGAGGTGCATATTGTTGTGTTTCCTGAGCCTGGTAACTGACTTGTTCATGTTTGGTCATCGATTGAGACATTCGAAAATTTGTTGAAGGTTTCATTTTGGTTGATGATAGGACTTTTGGAGGCCAGTTTTCAGGTTTGGCAAACTGACAGAAATTGACCTAATTAACAACTAATAGGTAGAAGTTTGTAAAAGAAAGTGGTGATTTTAAAATGTGCTTAGCTTTGGGGTCGTCAAACCTGCTTCGTTCTTTGAGGTACTAATCAGGTAAAATTGTCTTTCATCAGAAGATAACGCCTAAAATGACAAAAGACGAAAACCAAATTTTGTTTTCTCTTGAGCTGCCGCTTTGAAGACAAGAAGCTGAATTTTCGCAAAGTTAGTCTATGAAGCATGGTAAGTTAAAACAAGTGGCTATGAGCTTGGCTGCCGACGATATTATTTGGAAAACGAATCCCAATATGAATCCGGTGAGCAGTGGAATTTTAAAATGGCTCGAATTCTACTCGGATGTACGTCTCTAAGGGGGTCGTCTGCTAACGTTCAGCCGATGTGAACTTTGCATCACACTGTCAAGGTTGGTCAACCAATCGATAAAACCCGGAGGTTAGGCGTACCACACTGCATGTTTTCATATCGTAGCGCGATATCAAACAAAAGTGACGCAAATATGCGCAAATACGCACAAATACTGACGCCAGAATATCACATGGCCTGGTCCTCCGAAAAGAAGACGTGCATACTTGTGACAGTGTTGCACAATTGTAGTAAAAAAGACAGAAAAGTGCACCTGGTGCCTATTTTTTCCTAACTGATTCCCCCTTGCACCGCACTTCACACTAAATTCGCTCACTGCGCGAACTTTGAAAGTAACACATTCGAAATAAATGTGGCACGGACCTTTGTGACGTGAGACTCCGTAGGATGAGTTTCTGTTGTGCCCGGCGCAGATAAATTAGCACGGAAAAATCCAAATGTGTAAATACTCAGTTCGAAAACGCTTGTGACGGGCCAGAAGTCGTTAATTCACAAAGTTTCGAAAGTCTACTTATTCGTTTCTGGACTTTTTCTGCGTAAACGTTCACCTGGACGGCAAAATGGTGTGTATTCAGCATTAGGCAAACGGTTATTAGTAGGTGCAACCTTTGGACTGAAAATTATGGCAGCACATGGAGCAAAACGACGGTTGTTTCTTTGAAGGCCGCAAGGCCCAGTAGCACATTTCTGAAGGGAAGATGGCAAGGAATCCGACATGCTCAGTGTTGTTTCACACGGTGTGCACAGATATAAGCCAATTAGGATTTCAGCCCTTGAATTACTAGTTGCCTTCTTTTCGGTCCTAGGTATGTATAGTTCACCTGTTGCCAGACATATCCACTGATTTTTAAAAATATCACAATTCAAAAGGACAGGTCCAGAGGGTTATAAATGATGAGACATTTTGCTTACTAAATACTCCGACCCGCCTAAAGGCACAGAAATCTTTTTTGTTACCTGTGGTTGGCTGGGTCGTGCTTTCAAATGTTCAACCAGTGAAAACAATTGATCTCACTCTGGTTGGGCCATAAGTTGCTCAAATATTTAATTCCAAAACAAATTTCCTAATTAACTTAAGTGACTTCCGCACAACGAACGTCCAGTTTCATCTTCAAGGCCCGATATACAGTAAGATTAACTTTGTGGCAATAACCAGTGGGATAGGCCCAACAATATACCACGGCCGTTCAAACATAATTTTGGTTGCGCATTTGTCGTGGCTTATCGGTGATCACAAATGTGAGGCAATTTTCATCCTGATGTCAGTACAAGAATAGCTCTGCCTCGCTCATGAATGCAAGGCAAACAAAATCCCGTTTCAACCACCTCGGTGAGCAGAATCTTGATGGAGGTTGACAGTTTGACCTACACAACTGGCTCCTAATCTTTTTCCCACTCTGAGGTGAAATCATCAATAGTTTCCTTCCCCGTACGATAAAACCTTTTGACCGACCGAGGAGAGTCACGTGAATCTGTGTGTTAAGCGGAAGGATACGCTGAAATTCACCGTGGACTACGCAGAAAAACTGTTATCCAGAGCTATTTCTTCCATATCATAGCAGACCTCACTGTCGAACTTGAGCTGAAATGGCGCCAAGGAAGAAGCGTATAAGGTTGACGTTCCTACCATGTGTATAAAAACAATCCTCAACACAGCCAGCACGTAAACTCACAGTGCTGCATAGTAACGATTTCTATCGTGAAACAGAAAAATGCTATTAGTACTCCAGTGGCCCCAGAAAACACCCCTACATCGACTGTATTTGGTCCTCAACTCTTGCTTTGGTTGGATCCACGAATAAGTGACAGGTCTTCCAACACTGCTCTAACATCTTAAACCGGGTTGCTTTATGTAATTTAACGTTTTTTCCGAACTCCAACCGTTAGACACCTACTTAACTCACCAAGTCGTTACACCGTGCAGAGATAACACATTTAGGCTAATCAATGAGAATGGCATTGCGCCTGCTCCGATTTACTTGATTAGTTTTTACTGTCGATTTGCAAATTCGCGTAGTCATTGCCTTCAAACATGTGCCGCGGTTGAAACCAGCGCAAATGATCTTTCTTAGCTCCTCAACTATTCCTGTCTTTTATCCTCTTGCTGTGAAATTTGAGGAACGGAACAAGTTAGTTTATTAGAATGTTGCAGAATTTTGTTGGTGCAGTCACACATGCTTTCTCCCTAGCTGTCGGATTAAAACATGTCCCAAAAAGAATAGACGTTCAGTTGTCAGCCTGAAGAAGAGTCACAACAAAAAGGGCCTGTTTCTGGGGGTATCAAACATCTTTTGAGTTTACCGCAGTTCACATCACGCATGGGACTGTTGCGTGATAAAGAAAACCTAGAAAAGAAAGTTGAAATGGCACTGTATCAAACGAGTTTTATCATCGTCAGCAACATATTAGGACGCCTCAGCCACGCTTAGTAGCCATAGTTATGCAGAGAGTGGGTCGAGTGTTATATAGATGAAATGGAGGGCTTGATATTCAAATATTAAACGAGCGGTCCCGGCTAGGTTCGAAGCGACCGCAATAGATCTAGATCCGCAAGTTCCACGAATCGGTGAATGAGGACCGTGTCTGCTCACTCTGTGAGACAGACACCTGGTTGTAGGAACAACAGGTATGCAAAAGAGCACACAGGTATTTATGGACGCCAAAAGTTTAAGTTCTTCAAAATCCGCCGATCTCAAGATCACTCTCGAAATCAATGTTTATGCGCGAAATTGGCTACACTCCCGTCTCGAAGGAACTGGGTTTAACACATTCTACTATGCATGATACGGATGTCTGTAGCCGGCGTGAGGAAGTTCTAAGAAACAGTTTGATTTAGATACCGTGCTCCGTTTTGAAAACGATCATTTTATTAGATTTTAAATCATCCTCATTTTAGCCTGAAGGGGGTAAAGCTCTCGACATGCATTTGCCAGCCAATCCAGATATGCTTGCCATGCATCCTGAAATGTGTCCCGTAGGCGATAACACCCCAGCTCACTATGTCAATACCGGCCTACAAAATTTGCCAGGGAAGAAAGTAGATAAGTTAACTCCGATTTAAGTGGCCTTGTAATCATATGAAACACTACAATTCTTCATCAAACCACATAAAGCGTGGCGCGATTCGGTAGTACAGCACAGGGTGTGTCAAACTTTACAACGCGCTTCACCAAGCTGAGTTCACTTAGACCAGTGTTTTTGTGTTAAACCCGCCACGGTTTGACAATACGTTCTCATAGTTTCTAAGGGATTAGAGTATTCCACTAAAGTGTGAAGGAACGGCGTGGCAATTAAGTACGTTCAGCGAATTTCAACCAGGCCTCAGGCAGCTAAAAAAATAGCACCTTTAAGTTGATTTTTGATGAATCATCCAGCTGATAGTTGTGGTAGGTTTGCAGTGCCGTATTTTAAAGTTTGCCATTTGTGACCCCAGCATTTCGAGTGATTCTAACTGTGATAAAAGCCGGGTTGAATCATTTTTAAATCGGGTGGATGCACGCTCCTAAATAACCATTTGATTTCATGGGTGTACAAACCAAACCTGTCACAAGCTACAAATTATGAGTAAAATTTCAGTATGCCAGTGACTATACGAACAAAATTTCCTGTTGTGTCCTGTTTGTTTTTTTAGACGGCCACGTGTCATTGGCCTGGAACCAGGTGTGTCATGGTCGGCGACGACTTCTGTAAAGAAAATGAGCGAAGGCATGGAAGGGATTGGAGACTGAAGTGCACACCAGATCAGCCCGTTTGTGTCAGTAGAAAAAATACCAGGATGGCTCCAGGCAAGTTTTTATTTATTTATTATGATTTGATGAATAATGCAGATCAATGAATTATTTATTCGGGGACGCTTTGGTGAATCAGGGTAAACTTCACTGCTAGTTGAAGTTTCATTTATTGTGAACAGCGTAAACTCAACCTACTTCACCTGTTGTGGTGCAAAGATGGAACAATCACAGCTTTGACGAGGGATTTGTAGCACCCGTAGTTCTTTTCGCTTATTTCGCATTGTTTTACCTCTTAATTTCCTATATCAATGTTCACTGTATGCTTAGCAGTGGTTTTTTAAAAGACCGTAAGTACAGCATTTTGTATCGCGTTTCATAAATATATAAGCAAAGTACACTTTTACTGTAGAAATTAGGGGTAGAGAGGAAGGGGGAACCAGGGTCAAACACTTGTTTTTGATAACAATAGGATTACCCAAATGGTACGTAAAGCAAAGTAAACCCAAAAAATGGACAAAAACTAACTCGACTTTAACAGTTACGAGTTGGCGCTGATGGAGGGTAGCAAAGAACTTTGAGAAGTAGATGTTCTTTGAACAAGATGGGAAGAGAGCAAAAAGCGTTCACCGAATTAAAGGCTATGGTCAAAAGGATAGGAGAGGTAAGCTCCAGTTTACATATTTTGTGTTTCAATACAAGAGCGGTTACTTACAGAGTGTGGCAAGGTTTTGCAGGGTTTGGAACCTCATGAAATCGATAAAGGGAAAGTGAAGGCGGTCTTAATCTAGGAGTAGAAAAAATCCGGATTAATGAAATAAAAATTTAGACAGACATATATATATATAAGAGACAATCATGAAGGAAACTAATCACAAGGTTGCTGAAAACTCTTCAACGGCCCACGACCGGTTTCGCCCTCCTCGGGGCTCATCAGGTAGGCACAGTCCCTGAGTTTCCGTCGACCTTATGTTCTACTTTAACCCAATTTGGACTGTTTTCGAAAAACACACTTATTTGCAAACCAGGCTCCTTTTACCCAGGAAATTGAGAGGGGCAGACAAAAGTGTGAAAAACGTGAGCAACGGCATCACCTATTGCAGTCTATTGAAGTCTACTTAACTTATACAGTTATCAAACGGTTCCGAGAACGATAAGCTGGGCTTAGGCCATTGATTTTGAGGAAAGGGTATCAGTCCTACTGGAAGCGGTAGTATGGTATTAGAATGGATCAAGGTGGTTGAGTTACTTATGAAATAGGAAGGGTGGGTAGTTTTGAATCCTAAAGTGACTTGGCAGAAGGGTACAAAGGAGATCAGGAAAAATTTAGACACTTATGTTGCCTGAATCTTTCCTGTTGGTGTACCCATGACTCTGTCTGCGCTGGATTGGGGAAACTGCGAAACCATTTTGCTAACCGATATAAGTGACTTGCGTCGTCAGATTATCTGCAAAACAAAACTGCTTGCTTTCCATCACTTTGAGGATTTCTAGATGGTGTGGTAAAACATTAGCGTTTATACTGACGTTGTTCCCCATGACGGTAGTGGTGGTCGTGTTTGCTTACCGGAAATTCAGCGAAAACTTCAATCTTCTTTTGGCACAAATCAAATATTTCCATTGCAAGCATTTCCCACAAAAGTGAGCCTTCTCAAAAGCAGCCCTGTTAGTTTCCTGATTTTCGGAAAACTTGTATTTTCTTCGGGGTTAGAGTAGGCGGTACAGTCCTCCAGATTTATCAAAAACTGTGGTTTCATTCAGGCATACATAGGTAGAACACATTTTATCTTGCAATGCCAGTAAATGGGGCGCTCTTTCAAAGAGCCTGTCATAACCCAACAGTCGGTATTCTGATTGGAAATTTCGTGTTATTCGCTTGTTACCAGGTCGATGGTTCCTGTATTCAAAAAGAAGCAAGGACTATAATTACAATACTCTGTGAATACAGGGCGAAAAAATTCCCTCAAAGATTCTTGGTACAGTCTTGAGTAGACAGTCATCACTTTTTCTATAAAACGTCATCCTGCATGCTTGTTTTCCTTTAGTACAGCATCAAAGTGAAAATGAATAGCACCAAAATAACTAGTCAGCTATAAGTTGAAAGCTTCAAGTATGCACAGGTGATGCAGTCTCTTTCAGAGGTATTTATGAGAAACATGATCTGCTACTGAAGGCATACCTATGCTAGTTCACGCAAATGTCCTTTAGACGTTCAGTAATTTGACTAATTTCGGTGGATTGGTGGGGTGAAAAGAGTGGAAACATTAGATTGTCTTCCAGTTTAAGTGTGCTGTGATCTAAGCACTTGGGAAACGGCCTAGTCGTATGATCCATATTTTAATGAAACAAATTCGTGGGACAAGCATTTATTGGCTACCTGAGATCTGACTTTTATTTGTTTGTCTCTTATTTTTCTGTCACAAAATCAAATTTGTTTGCAAAGGAGTGTATTTCGCTGATTTCATTTGTTTTATCCAAAATTGTAATTTTGGCTTAAGTTGATTGGTCGGGTTTATCTTTGTGGATTCACAAAACGTCTTCGCAGTGATCAGACGAATCACGGTCTACTTCTTGGCGTATAGTTGGGAATTGGATCGAAAAACAAATTGACCGTTCTACGGAGCGCAAAATTCGAGTGCACTAAAATTTGGAGGGACTGTTCGAACATGGATTCAGCACAAAAACCAGGAACTGGGATGCCAGTTTTCACAGAGAACAGCGGTAGTGGTAGAAACCGAGAGATATGCTATTGTTTGTGGTCCATAGCGCTTAGACCGATAAGTCACATTCAGGGAAGAATGGTTTGTGCTAACTTTCACATAGCCTCATTAACTCATCGATACTCCCCCTTCCCTTTGGTAGATATTAACTTCCAACCCCTCCCACATGAATGTCGACAAACAATGGATGGTGGATCATGCCAACGTAAAAATCCAGCTGTCAATTTCTACTACGACCGGGAACGCAACACGTGTATGACTTTCTATTACCATGGATGTGGCGGTAATGACAATCGATTCGAAACAAAGTCGGATTGTATGACGCACTGTTCGCCGTAATCAACCCCGGTCCCGGCGCGGTTGTCGAAACTACAACCGTCACACTTTATGTCATATTCTTTTTGGCCTCGACAACCCCTAAGTAGTATTTAGAATTTTCAGCCAGACAGTTTCTTGGTGCGTAAGACACAAGAGTCGCTTCCCCTTTTTTATTTATCCAACCCGCATTTTGAGTTCATTGAGACAAACAGCCTGATATTCCAGTACCGAGGAAAGCGTTCGAACATTAAATGTATAACACTTTTCTTCTGAATGGTTGTGTAAGACATTTTGCAGCAGTAAACAGTGCATTTTAGTGATGTCATACTCAACCTTCGTTTTTTCTTACGCCGCTCGCTCATAAACCGGATGTAATCCGTGCATCATGATCTTGCGGCTCTTTCCGCAGTTAATGAGAACTTATGGCGAGCTTCTTAAGTGGAAGTAAAACATGGGATCAGCATTTTAGTGGTGAAGGTGCAACTTCAGTTCATTAGAAATCAAACAAGGCATGTATAATATAGTATCTATATTTCATATTCCCACATTCCTAAACGGCGTATTGATGTCTTCCTGGTTACTCGAGAGGCGAAGAAGTGAATGGTTTCTTGCCAAAGAATAACAAGGTTAGATAAACAAATTGGACTGCAGGCTACGATAACGACGCCAAATGGAGGACGTATATATCAGTAGTTTCAGTCAACAACAAAGAGGCGGTTGCCACACGCTGATAATCCCGTTGTCGAATGCAGATGTTTGACAACGGCGGAGCGGAAGTCACATTTCCAGCAAAATACATACCTCGTTTAGCCCCTCAGTAAGTAGTGTTTTACGAGGTGCCTTGACAATACTGTTGTGTATGTACTATAGTACGAAGCCCAGTTAATATAGAAGCAAGTTCCAGTGAGTTCACCAATGTTTAGGTTGATGGTTTATGAAGCTATCAGAAAACACCCAACCAGCAAACTAATGGAAACCAGCAATCTCATATTTGTATCTCAAATTCAGATTGGTTGAACTTCTATAACATCCCAGTCTGAATGCTACCCGAGTTGTGATTCTTCAGTGATGAACCTTTTCGGATGACGGCAAAAATCCAAACAAGAAAGGGAAAAACGACACTTTGAACAGTGAACCTTCCGCGCACGTTTACATTGATGAAATCGTCTGACAGAAATTCTTTTGTCATTCATTATGGAACGCATACTGAAAGTTTATCAGTTTTTGAAGTACAGAAGATGTGCATGGAACTCAAAATCGCTAAATCTACTGAAAGTGAAGAAAGATTCCGTTTGAGGAAAAGCGATCCGTTGAGAAAAAAGCCGCGTGCAACGTTTCACCATCTCAAATCATATCCAAATCTGTCCTCTCCAATGAAACGTTTTGCGCTTTTCCTCAGGACTAGACTGCAAGCAGCGGGGGCAGCGTAATAAAATATTACCAATGGGCGATCACACGCAAGAAATTCGTCTGCAATTCACTAAGCCACGAGGGTTGTGAAATGGATTTCAGTATCTTATCATCCACTCGTAGCCTTGTCACAGAGGCTTAATGTGAGATAATTCTTCGTGTTTAAACGTTCATATATTACGCTTATTAAGTTTAGGGCGTCCTGTGTTTCGATAACATTCCCAGTATGGTTAAGATTATTCTTACAGTGACCCAATGCACTACAGAGAAAACTAAAATACTTTGAGGTATATAACTCAAGAACTTGAACTGTGACTTGGGATTATGTACTCATAAGTCTATAAATGCACTGAATTTCTCAATGTATCATTTTTGGGATTTCGCTAGGACTAATCTACTCAAGTTAATTGGTATGGACTTACTCTGTGACTGCGTTGGCCATTTTGGTTTTCAGTTGAAATGGTTATGGAATAATGGAACTTGAGTCACATTCAGTTAATGCGAAACTTAAATGAGTATCGTAAACGAGAGGTTCAGCTGGAATTCGGTTGAGTCTCCTTACGAAACGAAATTCCTGCGGAAATCAGTGTACTTCGGGAATTCTGTGCACTTTGAGTTCAACTAGAACATAAGGTTGACGGAAACGATTAGACTGTTTCTACCGGTTAAGCGAAACCGTTCGTGGACTTTCAAAGAGAAGTGTTCCTTGAAGAAAACATGTTGTGATATCTCGACTGTCTTATCAACAGGAACATGAAGTGATTTAGTGAGGCATGTTCAGTCTGAGAATCACACCAACAGGAGATTCAAAAGGAAGATATTTAAGCCCTTTGTTAGAACCAGATGGGTATAGAGATTTCTTCCTGCGGATGCAGCCAGCCTATGCTGAAATGCCGAGAAGCGCTGCACAGATTTTTCATCCTTACTGGGAACCATCATCAATGCGCATCCAAGGAAACTTCGGGGAGTGTTGAACCGGTGATTTCCCGGCTAGTAATTTGAACGCGTAGAATTCCGGTCATGATAGGCTGATTAGCAGTGCGATAACTCGCACTATGCTGAAATGCCGAGAAGCGCTGCACAGATTTTTCATCCTTACTGGGAACCATCATCAATGCGCATCCAAGGAAACTTCGGGGAGTGTTGAACCGGTGATTTCCCGGCTAGTAATTTGAACGCGTAGAATTCCGGTCATGATAGGCTGATTAGCAGTGCGATTAACTCGCACTTAGGCTATAGCACTACTCATGCTTCAACAATGAGACCCATAACACGTGATCGCAAGTGCTGTTTAGCCCTCACTCACCAGATATATTTTATTCTTTTTCTGAGCCACCTATTGCTTGTTGGCAGTGCGAGGAGATTTGGCAATTTTCAAGGAAAATTTCGTAATTGAGGTAATTCTTTACTGAAAAGCTGGAAAGCACGGTGAAACCATTTCATCCCGACTAGGAGAATTCATCGTTCGATCAAACAGTCAGCACAAGTAACCACGTGATGCGTGTCTCGGAATTGAAGGACGGGTAGCGCTATTTCAATACACGCTATTTACACAACTGACCAGTTACCCGTGGCCGAAGAGTTAACTGTCAAATCTATCAGCCGGAAGGTCGCGGGCTCAATAGTTACTGCAGTTCCGTTGGATGCGCACTGCCGATGACTCCCAATAAGGATGAATTAGTTTACGGTGCTCCTAGTCTTTTCAGCGTAGACTGACATCACTTGAAGGACGAAATCAACGCTAAAAATCCCTAAATCTCGTCACACCACCAATAAGCCCCCTTTTTACATGTCCGAATGACCTGAATCCACGGTCGCCACGCGCCGGCTCAACACCGCAGCCAAACGGTTGGTTTTTACCTTATGGCAAAAATTTCGAAATTTCGACAACTGTCGACAGTTCAAAAGCTTGCTAATAATAAGTAAACTAGTACTTGTATCATGGACCAAAATCGGCTCATCGCTAAATCAGTTTTTAGAAGAAATGCCGCCGACAAAAATATCTTACATTTAAGGAGAGAAATCTCAGCAACTTCACGAACAAAATACAGTTTAGGATCTCATCGGCACCCGGAGGAAGTTTCTAAGGTTTTCTCCTAAAGGAAACTACTCACAAGGTTGCTGAAAACTCTTCGACAGTCCACGACCAGTTTCGCCCTTCCAAAGTTTCGTTGGTGTGCGTAGCTCTAATCGTTTTTGAATACCTGCATGCTTCACAGGTCACTGTGTCGCTTAGCAATTCAGTTCTGTGGGACGAAATTACCTTAACAGGAACGCTGATTCTATTCGCGAATGGATGGCCCCATGTGAAAAGCTCTCAAAATCTTTGCATCCTTGGAATTCTGATGTGGACTGGCGCTGAGATAGTGGGATCCAAACAGTTTTGACTAAACAATTCTTCCGTCGTAAGGGAAAAGTATGCGTATTAGACCCTCTTGCTGATGCGTTGTGTCCTCTGGAGAAGATCGACTGTTTAGACGTTCGCAGACCTGCTTGTCCGTGGCTGGGATCATTTATTGCAACAAGGTGAATGTAAACAGCAATTATCAGCTAAGTCAGTAAAAATACGTAGTTTTGGGGATGCTTGTTTTGACTCGAGATGATGAAAAACCGGAGTTTATCACGGCGGAACCTAAATTCACAACACACTGCCCTTTTACATAGTAGATGCCGAGAAAGTTCGGTATGTTTGATTTTTAAGCTACTTGTACACGTGTAATGAGCCTATCTATTGTTAAAGCTGCGAGAATCCCCAATTCAAAAGCAGGGGAGAACGTTTTTAATTTTAAGATATTTCGTAGCCCGACCACCAAATTCATGAATAATTTAACACATTCATAGACGGATGAAAACTGCCCCTTCCTCAACAGAAGACAGTATTTTACCCCGAACTGGCCTCAGTACATAAATTCGCTTGAAAAGCCGTGTTGGTAGGACCTACTTGTTCATTTTCAGAAAGGAGTTGTTGCTAATAACCTGGCCGAAAATGATTACTTTGGGAGGCACGTACGAGAAGTTATTACAGCTGATTTTGGTTCCCAAAACTTTTTATTCCCTAGAAGGGAACAATCAACTTGACCCACCTCTCCTTCGAGTGGTGGCTGACGTCCCCTGAGTGTATACTTTAATCGAATGATGTCCTTTTGGTCAGGTCTTTGCGTGAACCAAACGAGTGATTAGTGATTCGCGTAGTGGTTAGTTGACAGAACATGCGTGCTGTACGCAAAATGTATAAAAATTCGCAATCTAGACCCTCTTTTCCCATGTTCCACATAAGCTTCAACTCCCACGCACATCCGTTCCAGCGATCCAGGGTTAAAAAAGAAGAAAGGTAAATGAAGACTTACCCGTGTTCCAAATAGCTGACTAGCCCGTTCAAGTATAGGAACAACACTTGTGTGGAAAATAGGGATATTCTTCCAATTTTGTCGGTTTAAATGGTACGGAAACGCGTGAAAGAAAAAAAGCCATATTGATACGGATAATTCGAGAACTCCAAATATCCTTACACGCTGTACACAAAATTTATACATACAAGTTCACGTGGACGCCGACAATTATCTAAACTTGAAGTTGACTCACTGTGGCATGGAAGCATTTGGTTATGACGGAAAATGTCAACGTTTTTTAAGTGTCTCTTTGTAACTTTAGATATTTCGATGCTCAGGGTAGCATTGCTAGGGAACTATCGAGAAACGTCTGTTGTCTCCTACTGCTCGCAGATCCTGATGGCCTCGGGCGGTGAAGTGCAGATGTTAATGAATTTTTCGGATTTATCCGGTCGGAAAACACAGGTTGGGAAACTTCTGGCAATGAGCTTCCCAAAGTTTTTGAAAGTCGATATGCATGTTTTTGCGTCGAAGGATCACGTATTCCCATTTTTTCCAGTCTATACTCTACACCATCCGAGATACATTGGTGGATACGCCGGGGATGGTCTCGATCAAGGCTCATTTGCTGTCGCCGCCTTCTATAATAATCTAAAGCCTCACGACCCAGCCGCCTTTGTATCTTACGGTTGCGTTTGGTCTGAGACTCCGAAGAGCTTGAATCCGAATCGACTATCTCACCGCATAGTGAACAGTATGCACGCTCACACAATACGCATGAAGGTGCCTCTTCAGACTGATGAATGAGGTTGGCATGTGAGCGACATAGATTGGGCGGCATTCTCATAACATCTGAAAAGTACTTCGACGCTTCAGAACAACATTCCGTACATGTTTGTCTACTCCATCGGTTCATATGTGGGTCATTAGACCTCGACCGTTTTGGATGTGGTGCCTTCGGATGCAGTCGTGAAGCACGCCTTGAATATTCCACTCTCTCTCTTGAAGACCGTCCACTGAAGTTCTGTACATAATTATGAGGTACTTCTTGCGCTCCGTCAAATTTCGTCACATTCTGCGCTGCAAACTGTCTTAATTCCGATAGACATCTCAGGGTTCGGAGCCCCTCCTGGACGTTGTCTGCAAGAAAGGCATAACAAACAAGACCGCTCCCTGGCTTCTTTGTTGAAACAATACAATAAATTAATGGTGGACGAGGAATATGTCGGTTCATCAGCAACCAACCGCTTAATCTATCGTCAAGTTCGAACAATGCGTCCTCCGGAACACATCGACGCGTGTCAACTGCACGTCGAAAATAGGCGAAGCACTTATTTTTATTTCCACCCATAGGAGTTACCACTTCAAAGTAGTAACAGTTGAAATAAACAAGTTGCTCCGGATTGAAATTCTTCTCTAAGTGCTTTCTAAACGTTTGATCACCACACTTTTCAGTACCGATGAAACGTAGACTGAACTGGCCATTACCGACGGTCATTACAACAGTCGAGTAAGCTCTCGACATCGCATCAGCGTATGATCGGAGATGTTTGGAGCGACTGGACACCTTACACAGAAAATCCAAATAATAGGACAATAGGAGTTCGTAAATCGTTTCCAGTTCATCACCGCTGGCTTCCTGCAACACCGAATTTCCAAGATAGGTAAGAGGAAATATGGAGAGTGAAGCTGAGGACATCATGAATATGTGAGACAACACAGGACAGGAAATAATCATAGAACCTGCCAGTTTTATATGTAAAGTCTTGCACACTCATTTACATAAACTGGTATTGATTCGGAACCTGCAAATCTAGAGTGCGTGTCCGGTCACCTAGGCAATCGTGAGGCGTGTTAGATGTCACACTTATCTGCACAGCGTCGCTATATGTGAGAATCACGTGCGTTACTCTATTTGGTAACCATGTTTCAAGGCCAGTAGGGGACTGGCGTTACTCTTTCCAAATAGCAGAACTAATCAGCCCATTCTCCCATTCCAAAATAAGTCAACCTAAGCAGCAGACGTTTTCAGTGCCTTTTTATTATCTAAGTAACATGTCCATCTGCTTAACTTAAGTGGGGGAACGATTTATAAAGCGGAAACAGCGATTGTTTTCATACTATATAGTAAAACAAACGAAGGGTGGAGGCGCGCCGCAGTCTGACTTTGACCTTTATTTTATAACAAGTTTGCACTGCTGACTTCTTGAACCGAGACATACTAAGCGACGATATGCTTTTATCTTTTGGAAGCGTGAGTGTGACAAAATAAATCCCCTTAAATCCAAGAATTTAATCACCTCACCACAACGGTGCCAGCATTCCAAAGTGTTTTACGGGTTGAGCACCAATGTAATTTTTGTGGACTCAAAGTTTAATGCAATGAAAAGGGCTAACAAAGCCGTTAGAATCCCTCTCTAAAACCGGACGGTACCATCTGCAACGATAAATCAGGCTTCAGCAATAAAGCCTGCTGACATGCAGATATAGCGGGAAAAGTCCATCTGTAAAAAACCTGTGGGTCAACTTTCAACTCAGAAGTTAAGCAAGTTTATGGAGTAATTCGCACTACATGGTCGCTAAGTAGAAAATGCAGTGGTATTTCCAAGTCGTAGTTTTAGCCCCACGTCTCGAATTAATTCAGACCAGCTCACCACAGTCAGTTGAATCATTCTGGTACAGGTGTTCTGAAACAAGTCAGTGGAACGACGCAGCAAATCGATGTACAAAGAGAAAACCTAAACAGGTCAGCACATTTGTTTCATACTTTGTTGCCGATGGAAGCGGAATTAAATCGGTTGCACGACTGTGGCAGGCCTCATACAATGTAGACTGTGTACACTAAGATGCTTCTGAAAAACTGCCTTCCTAAGCGGTTCATTCACAGAACTTTAGAGTTTCCAAGATAGTAAATAGGGTATCACTTGTACCTTTGCGACTCGTTAGCATAAGCAACCACAGAAAACATGCTTGATGTCACCACCTTTGTTTTCACCATGACGTCAATGAGCGTCCTCGGTCGGTAATCACGCAATTTCTTTGTAAGGCGCCCGAGAATGTCGTGGGTCTTACTAATCAGAACTTATCGGGCTAAAAAGGTGACAACGTGGCAAACCGGATTCATGCTTTTATGCTGCAATAATTCATTCCACTATCATCAAGCTAACTAATGAAGTCTGCAGGTCCTTGACCCAGAAATTCCCAAAATACCCGGACACTGAGTGGTCGACAAACGAAACTGAACCTGCTGTTGAATGTCAGGTTTTATGAGACAGACTACACAAGTGCGGCTTGCCTGCTGCTTCTTTCATCAGACGGATGGGTCCCCTAAGAGGGGACCATCTACCTATCCACTTACAACTCGTCACTCGCGCCATAAATAAGCTCGAAAACCGTTTATCTCACCTAATAAGTTACCTGCCAGCAAAGGCTGATTACACGGTGTTCTGTTAGTGACTGTTACCTTTGGTCATCGATTACCTGCTTGCATATTTAAACCACACATAATTCTGGACTGCTCCTATGTGATCACACTCCAGTACAGTCTCCTTGAAATAAGTCACTTGTGCAGTCAGCCACGCTTCTGACATCCTTCAAAGAAGAAAGCTTGGTTCAGTGTGGCAACTAAATCCGCAAAAGCATACAAGCCCTTGGTGTCCAACAATGCCTTCGGTAACTCCGGCGATGTTCTGAAAATGGACTGTGCGTGGCTGCAAAGACTGTCGGCTGAGGTCAGCTGCGACGTAACGTATTTCCGCATAAGGTCAGTCCAATTAGAGCTACGAGGGAGAGGTTGTTTGGAGTGCTAGTGCAATCGACACTGGACGTCTGTGTTCCTCGGTGCATTCACATTCCAAAAGTGACCTGACAGGATTGTTGTTCAGAAGCAGAGTAACTTTGCATCAACCAGTGCAATGCTGAGTCACTCGTCCTGGGGACTGCCCATTGGCTGGAAATTTGTTTACAAAAATGTTGGCATCCGAAGATGAATATTTCCAAACTTCCGAATGATAGACATTTGTGTAGGCCATTCCATTTCCCGTGGTATTTTAGAAGAAACTACCAAATTTATGCAAAGTTGAAGGATAACATTGGCATTATGCAAATCAACCAAGTCAGATATTTGGTGGGAAGAATGGCAGGCAATTCATTTTTTACCTAGTAAATTCGGAATTAGAACTGCATCGAATTAAGCAGTTTTTTGTTTGCGTACACTTTACTCCAGGGCATCACCAAGAGCCTGGTTACCTGGATCTATATTGCGTTTCTTCCAGTTATATGGACATCAAACCGTAATACAAGTGCATATTTTTCCAAGTCATCCTATGAAATATTAGGAACGATAAGGAATCTATCACGTATTTTGGATGGGGAATCCCGTGAAATGGGATTGCGACTGTGTTGTAATAACTTAGCTAGATCGGACCGCTATGCTTAGTGTGTCTACTCAGAACTTAAACAAAGGGACTAATCGTGAGGAGAGTTTTAGTGCCCTATTTATGCCCAGTATTTTTCCAGCTTGTATATTTTTACTACAAGACGTCCAATAGTACTGTGATTTTTCATGGCTGCTTTGATGACGGAAATTCTTCGACCATGACCGCTTCCACCCAACTTGGATCTTATTAGGTAGGTGGAGAAGCTGGGTTCCGGTTATTCTTACGTTTCGCCCATAAGAATCACACCTCCATCAATTCGTTCGTCATTCCACCATTATGCAATTATCGGGACATTTCACAGAACCCTGGATTTTTTTATCTCAAGTGCGTAGTTTCCACCATTGCATTTGCCAGTTGTGCAACCAAGACCGGAACAGCTGACACCATTCTGTCACCCAGGAACAACTGGAGGAGCGGGTACCAGCGAGTAGTTGTTTGATCTTGGCTCCGTGTCAGAACGATGTATGTTTTCAAGTGCACATCTGTAGCTGCCACAAGACGGAACGTAACCGTTTATGGTAAGTGGTCACGTGCTTCGCAGCACACGTGCAGATAGATTTGTTTCCGACGTGACAGGGCATCAGAACTACGCCTACCACCCTGACTTGGCCGAGTGTATTTGCTAATAGAGAAAAGTGTTTTTATTCCGTTCTAATTTTCTTAAGAGCACGGAACATTGTCCACGGTCATTTGTGGCTGCCCCACTCACTTGACAGTGGCACGGTAAAGAAAGGCGCCTGCGAAGCCTTGGATGAATCAACTTCCTGGGCCAATCCGTAACATGAATGCAGTGCATAGGTTTTGGGAGTATGGGTCACAGGTCTTGACGTAAGTGGTCTTATGTAAAACTGTGACTGACCTGCATATTAAGACACCTTCCCAAATACTTATGTTTTCCCAATAAAGGTGCTTCTTTCAGCGCGCCAAAATGCAACACAGTTAAGCTGTTCCCCGCGTAGTATAGGTCTAACTCAAGCGTGATAAGAAGGTGGGTTTTCACGAAGTACATAAGTTGGAAACTAAGTTTGTGGTGACATTCACCAAAATTCTCAAGTATCATTTCGGAAATATGATGAATACATAGCTTCCCAGCTTAAATTTCACATGTGCTCAACATGATAACGACTTACCTGCTCAATGTATGTGAAGAGTTTAAGGATTCAAACGGAGACGGGTTGATGCTTAGGGTAACTGATCTAAATGCGCGATCCACCTTTGTCTCCATAACAAATGATCTTGTAATACCGCTCAAACCTGGTAAATTATTTTACAGCCAAACAGACCATTTGGTTGGCGTGGCCTGTTTTCATTTGTTTCACTCGCTTCAGCTTCGAGTAAACAAATGAGTATCACCCTGTCAAACTGTAAGTTATGACCATCTAAGTAGAAATATCCGTTTAGTACCACCTTTTGTTAGAAACTATTCTGGCAAGAGGGACTTCTCCACACGGTCAATTTGGGATGATGGCAGTTCTGCCAGACAGTACACATGTATCGCCTGTCAGAAGTGCAGTGTGTTTTAATTAGGTGTTTTTTAGGTGGGGTTAACTCATCTCTCAAACGAAAGAGCAAAACCGTCTGGCTGCAGAGCAGTGTCAGAAATTCCGATGTGCTGAAAATGGTTGTTGAACACAAGAATACTATCCAGAATGGCAGATTGCTTTGGTTGAAATCACGGAACTGTAATTTTGCCTTTTAGGTCACACTGATGATTTTGAACAAACATGAATTTACCGGAGATAGCAGGTCCTCAATAGAAACTCGGCAAAAATGGTTCCGCATCATAAATCCGAAACACAGATGACAATTTTTTATTTACCCATATGCTTCTCAATCGACCACTTGTTTTTTTAAGATGCCTAATAAGTAGTCATTTGTTCAGTGGTTTCAACGTTCACCCAGAAAATGTCGTGAACGGAGCGTCCTTTGTAGTAGTTACAATCGACCATTTTTCCATTTATCGGAAGCAACAAAAGCGACGGTCTATTTATCATATATTTTTTTTTACAATTTTTGAACCAAATCGTTTGGTGGGGTGCATTTAACCATTCTGATCTTTTTTACCCTACTTGTCTGCCATTTCATTTTGGAGAACGTGCAGATGTTGTACTCTCTGAAGAGATCACCGCTTCTTTCCGCCGAACAACAGTTCCGTCGGGAAAAAAGCCACACTTTCTGTTCACGTTCAGTTGCAGGTGCTTGCTGATCACTTAGTGAGTCACAATGCCGTCCGAATTCTGTATGTCCCAGATAAGAATGAAACTAAAACTTCGAAATAAATCTACGAAGCGCATCCAAG